ATCAATAATATATATAAATTATAAATATATATTGGGAAATTTATACATTGAATCTTTAAATAATAGCCATTCATATGAAAATATTTTTTTTTATTATTTAAATTTTCTAATTGAACCTGCATTTATGTATGAATATCTAGATATGAAAATATATTTATATATATATATATTATATAATTTTATATATTTTTTTTAATTGATGATATCATAAAATGATTTTCCATTTTTGGATATGATTGAATTTAAAAAAATTTTCGTATAAATGGAAATGATCAAAAAATCATTTTTTTTTTCATGTTTTAAAATTTTTTGATAAAATTGTTTTATTTATATATAAATATTTTTATCATATATATATATGGAATAAATGTAATTAAATAAAAAGTGTATTATTTAAATTTATATACTTATTTAATTATTATTTGGTTGTTTTAAAACATTTTTTTAAATTGAAGTATTCTGAAAAACAAAATTTATTGATTTTAAATATCTATATTTATATATCTAATCTATATATAAAATCTTTCTTTTTCATTTAATTTTCAAATATGGGAAAAAAAATGTTGCTGGATGAGAAAATTAACCAAAATTTTTTGAAATTTAATGGATTTTTATATTTTTTTTTATTCTTTATCTTTTTTCCTTATTTTCTTACAAAATGGTTTTTATCTTTGACATGTTGCAATCTTTGCAAGAATTACAACTAAATATTTAAAAAAAAAAAACAAAATATTGGATTTTTTTTTTTTTAAGTTTAATTTATTTATCCATTAAAGATTAAAATTATAAATTATGCAAAATGACACAAGTATTTTTTAAAAAAATTAAATTTTTTTTTATTTCTAATTATAAATCAAAATACATGATTAAATTCAAATATTTCATTTCCATATTTCATTTATAAATTAATAGAATATATATCAATATATTTAAAAATATATATCCATATATTAATTGCATCAATTTTAATCTTTAAATCTTTTATTTTTTTCTAAAATTTTCAATTAATTAATAATTATCCCTTTATTATATATACATTTTTTTTTATTTTTTAATAAAAAATATCACATTTCCAAATTTTAAAAATTTATTATTTTAAAAATCAAACATAATTTAATTGTCGATCAATTAATATTTATTTTATATTTAAAAAATATTCAAAAAATCGATTAAAAGATTTATATTTTATTTTTTATATTGAATTATATATATAAATATAAATAAATATTAATTTATATATTTTATATAAATAAATATTTTCAGATTATTTGATAAAAAAAATATTTTAAAAAAATTATTTATATAAAATCATATTTTATATTTATATTTCAATTTTTTTTTTTTTTTTAAAAAATTGTAAAATGTTTGTTTCCACAGTTTTTTTAAATTTATAATCAAAAATAAATTTTTATAATGTTTTAAATAAAAAAAATTAAAAAATAAAAAAAAAAAAGTTTTAATACAATTCTAAATCAATTTTATTTTTACGATTTAATGAAACAAAATTTATAAACATTATCCTAATATTAAAAATTATTTTGAAAATTTTAATGCAGACTTTTGCATTGAAAGTTGAAAACGTTATTATTCAAAAATATCATTATATTTAAAAATATAATTGATTTAAAATTTTTTTTTTTTTTTTCAAATTTTTTTCCAAAAATTTATTTATTTTAATTTTCATATTTAAAATTCAAAATTTTTCATTATATATATATATTTATATTTTGTTTATATCATATATTCAATAATATGATAAAATAAAAATTTTTTTGTTTTCAAAAAAATAATCACAAAAAACTGAATTTTTTTTTTGTCTTCTTAATGACATTTAATAATGACATAATATGATCTTTTCTTTAAATGAAATAGAAAAAATATTTTCTTTTGAAAAGCAGTCTTTATTAAAATTTATATATTAAAAAAAGATTATCAATAATTTGTCTTTTATTTTCATTTTCAAAAAAATTCAAATTTTTAAATTGTTGAACTAACCAAAATAAAGGTGATTCAAATTTAAAATTAAAATTTTATTATAAATATTCTGTAAATAAAAACATTAATCAAATAAAAAAAAAAAAAAATCTTTAATTTTCTTAATAAGATATATTTTCCTTTTATAATACTTGATTATTGTCAACAATATTGATATTTCAATACTTCTGAAAAATTCAAAAAAAAATTTTTAAATAAATATTATTTTTGAAATTTTTTAACGGTTGTTATTTTTTAATAAATTTAATTAAAAATTGTAAAATTGAATTCCATTTCAAATTTTATATTTTTTATGAAACTAATTCTATTTTTTGGGATAATTTTAATTTAAATTTCTTTGTTTTTTTCCTGAATCATTTTAATTTTCCATTAAAATACTGATCTTTTTCTTTAAATTGGCAACATAACTTTTTTAATAATTTTTTTAAAAATATATGCCATTCTGTTTAATTTTTAGCTATGAGATTAAAATAAAAATATTGATTTTAAAAAAATTTGAGACAAAATTATAAAAAAAACAGAATGAAATTTTTCAAAAATATATTACTTTTTTCCTATTTTTTTATTTTATTTATTTTGACCATCTTGAATTAAAAATTTTTTATTTTTTTTAAATATTTCCAGCTGTTGTCATAAATAGTAAACTTTTAGCTATTTTAATAAACTATATATATTATGAATATATATATATATAATAATTTTTAATCAAAATGGTCCAAATCTATGTTTACATTTGTATGGAGTTGATTCAGTAATCGAAGATTTTTAGAATTTTTCATATTAAAAATTGATCATACGGAACCATATTGTAATTTAAAATTTTAAAATTAATCAATTTGTCTCACGAAATTTAAAATAAGTTTTAATCATTTCAAAAAATGTTTCAATCCATTTTCTCAAAATAATTCATGTAATTTTCTATATATATATATTTTATATATATATATATTTATATATATATATATATATAATGCAGTTTTGATTTGGGGGATGTTTCTTTTCCTAAATAAAAAAATTTTTTTCCATTTTTATATTTATAACATCATTTTTTTTTTTTTGGATTTCCGATATGAAATATTTAGGGACATTCGCTTGTCATTCTCCTACATAATAATAAAATTTTTTTAATCCGTAAAAAGTTTTTATATTCCTGATCAATAAAATAAAAATATAATATATATAGAAAGAATATATAAAAAGTTTTATTTCCTTCTTGAATTCTTTGAACTATTTTTCCTTGACCCTTAAATTAAAAGATTTTAATGTATTTTCAACAGAAATGCATTTTAAATAAAAAACAATTTTAAGATAATCTGAAAATGATTTCTGTTCAGTTAAAATGAAAATTTATTTTGGTTAAATCTGTTTTAAAAATGATGATTCATTAAAATTTTTAAAAATTGTTAAGAAATCAAAAACATTGGTGAAATTTTTTCCAAAAACTATTTTTCAAATTCCTATAAAATAAAAAAAAAACAAAAATTAATAAAGATAATATTAAAAATTTTATTTAAATAAAACCAATGCCGGATGAGAAATTTATCTTATATTTATATATATATTCGTATCCATTAAAATAGGAATAAAAATAACTGGCAGGAAAATTTTTAAGAAGTGATTCTTGGCTTCTTTAAATAAAAAGAATAATTATTCAAATTTTTAAATACCATTAATGGATGGTCTGTCTAAACACATTTTTTTATTTCTTTCGATTTCTCCATATAATGTTTAACCAATTTTTCCCTTTCATCAAATAGGAAAACAATTTTTTTAAACATTTTTTAAGTTTTTTTTTTTTTTAAAGACACAGAATTTCATGAGATTTTTCCAGAGGATGAGTTCCCAAAGCAAAATATTTTTTTCTAAGCAAATAGAAAGAGGATGATAGATGAAAAGAATTTTATTTAAATAAAATCATAAATATGACATAAAATATACATTTTGATGTGATTTTGGAGACAGATCTATATATAATATTTTATAAACACGTTATAAAGATATAGAGAGAGAGAAATAGAATTTTACAATAACAGACAGACAGACAGACATAAAAAATACAAAGAATTTAATATATTTTCTTTTATAATCACAAAACAAATGATTTTAACAGAGAGAGAAATTTTTTAGTATTATCAAAAATGTTCTGCAAATATATGAACTTTTATAGACACAAAATTTACTAGAATATGAGAAAAAATTTATATACAAAAAACAGACAAACAGAGAGAATAGGGCTTTTTATAACATTTATATTTCAGAAACAGAGAGAGATAAGATTCAAATTCAAAAGGAGATTTATTTAAGCATTGTCGATTTAATAATTCATGTTACCATTAAAACCATAAATGTATATAATTAGATAAAAATATTAGAGAGTCTTAAAAACAATTTTTAAATATTGAATATAAGAAGATTTTTATATTAAAGAATCATTATATATATATATATATATATATATATATATATATATATATATATATATGAAGAGAGAGAGAGAGAGAAAAAGAAACAATGCCTATATAAGGTTTTTATGTCCACATACAAACGGGTAGAATAGATGATTTAATTTATTTAGATATTGTTTAAAACAATTTGATATTTATAAATATTTTTTCATTTCACATACAAACCGGACAGATTTTACAAACGCAGAGATGATAGAAAAAAAAATATGATTTTTATCCTTATATAACCTTTTATAAAGTCACAATACAAACATATATAGATATATATATATATATAAGAAGAGAGAGAGAGAGAGAGAAGAAGACAATGAGATATATAACCTTTTTATAGGGTCACATAAAACAAAAAAAATATATATATATATATATATATATATATATATTTTAGAGAGATATATATTGAGAGAGAGAGAAAGACAAGGATAAATGAGATATATAACCTTTTAATAAGGTCATATATAAAACGGGTAATAGATAGAGAGAGAGACAAGGAGACAATGAGATATATAACCATTTATAAATTCACAAACAAACGGGTAATCAGATAGATAGAGAGAGAGAGTGAGACGAGGATTTACAATGAGATATATAACCTTTTATAGGGTCACATACAAACGGGTAGATAGGATAGATAGAGAGAGAGAGAGAGACAAGCAAACAATGAGATATATAACCTTTTTATAGGGTCACATACAAACGGGTAGATAGAGAGAGAGAGAGAGAGCGACAGGGAGCCAATGAGATATATAACCTTTTATAAATCAAATTACAAAAACTAGATAGAGAGAGAGAGAGAGAAGGAGACAATGAGATATATAACCTTTTTTATAAACCACATACAAACGGGGTAATATAGATAGATAGATAGAATAGATAGATAGAAGAGAGAGAGAGAGAAACAACAAATTTCATGAGATATAAACCTTTTTTTAATGTCAATTAAAACATATAGTAGATAGATAGATAGAGAGAGAGAAATGAAAAAAGAAATAAACTTTGAGACACAATGCATGAGAGAAACCGACAAACAGGCATAGATATATAGCCTTTCGACAGACATACAAACTGTGAGACAAAGAGATAAATTTTTTTTATAGACATACAATATAAAGAGAGGACTCCTCTGAAAGGCAGCAAAAAAAAGAGAGAAAGAAGAAAAAGAAACAGATTTTTCAGAAATTTTTTATATAAAATTTTATAGACAAACATGGAGAAAAATAGAGACAGAGAGAGAGATAGATTAACAGATAATTTTTTTAAAAGAAATTCAAATAGAAAAAATTTAACCTTTTTTAAAATGGGGGTTTTTCACAGAGAGAGAGAGATCTTTTAAAATATTTTTTTTTTAAAATAACAATGAAATGAGAGAAAAATAAAAAGAAAAAACAGAGATTTCACGGAGGAAGGAAGACAAGGAGAGAAATTTTAACTTTTTGTTATATTGATAAAAACACATTTCTTTTAGAGAGACAGACAGAGACAGACAGAGATAGACAGAGATAGACACAGGTATCCTTTTTATACATACGGAGGGCCAGAGAGAGAAAAAGAGAGAGATTTGAAGAGAGAAAAGAACTTACGAAGGTTGGTAATGAACGATAATTTATTCATCTGGCCAAAAACTAATAGTGCGGCTAAAACAATCCCTATTGCATACGCTTGCTCGGATTTTTTAAAATTTGCGTTTATTTCCTGGCGACAGAGCCCACCTGTGGTTTATAATTGTAAATATGCATAATTTGACCTTAGTTACAGTTTCTGGGAAAGAGCTTGTTATCTAGCGGGATCAACAATTTGAACACGGCCAGCACGCCACGATGATTTGTGAATTCGTGCTAATTACAGCTATCAAAAACTTTTCCGTCTACCCAAACATCAAACCGTGCTATGGTTTTCAGGCACTTTTCAAAGGCGCATGTTGGGATCGACCCCTCCAGTCCGATCTCATCAGGAAGTTTCCTTCCCAACAAATCGACTATGGTGAGATTCGAACCCGAGCCTCATGGTCAGAATTCTAACCACTCGGCCACGTGCCCAGAATGAACAATAATACTTAGGAAAAGAATAACACATATAAGATTCGCCAGCGGCGCGTTGAAAAAGGAGCCAATCAAGTGAATTCCACAATGAATCTCCAACTGCAGACCAACATACAGTATTTGCTACTGTATTTATGTGAATGGGGACATACCTAACATCGTCATGCTACAACAAAAAGAAAGAGAGAGAGAGAGAGAGAAAGAGAGAGAGAGAAAAGAAAGTTAGAGAAAAAGAAAGAGAGGGAAAAAGAAAGAGAGAAAACTTGTAATCTAGGTAAGATTACCGAATAAAATAATCAAACGAAGGTTGGTAATGAACGATAATACTTAGGACAAGAACAACACATACAAGAAGTAGTCAAATGCTAGAAGTGACTCAAGTGAATACCACATTGAATCTTCAACTCTAGGTTATCTAACAAGCATCCCACGCAGTCAGATGTGGCACAAGGTCAAATTTAATGTTGGGCATCCGAGCCTGTAGGATCGGCCAAAAAAAAATGTTTCCCGAGACGAGAATTGTAATTCAACATAGCCTCGTAAAGAATGATCCTCTCTGCCCGGAGAAATAGAGAGTTTGAAAAGCACAGCTGGAGACGAATCTCCAATCTAGACCAACATACAGTATTTACTACTGTATGTAAATCGGAACATACCCATTATCGTCTGTAGGTATGCTACAACAGTTAGTGTTAACATTTTTTTGCTGGCCCAATTTTATGATGTTATTGCTCAGCCCAGAGCAGCGGTTGTTCAGACTGAGTGAAAAGGAGGGATATTACTCCAGTGGATTATTTTAAACTAAGTCAAACTGCTTGGTATGCGTAAGTGCGTGTGTTTTATTGCACATGAAATGACACACAAAATCAAACAAGTACAAAAATTTAGATATCTCGTTACCTGGTTCCCCGGCGACATGAAAGTAAAGGAAAATAATAATAATAATAATAATAATAATATTGTATCAGGTTGTACGGTGTTGGCACCCACTGAATATAAAACCCGACATGACAGAGTGGGCCAATATCTGCACTGGAAAATCTGCAACTTCTACGAGAAGGAAACTGAAAGAAACTGGTATGAACACCACCCAGACCCGGTTACGGAGATAGGACCTGTTACAATTCTATGGGACTACACAATACACACTGACAGAACAATCAAAAGCCAACCGGCCAGATATTGTTATTAAAGACCACAAACAAAAAAAATGCCTCCTTATTGATATGGCAGTCCCTGCTGACTGCAATGTATCTTTGAAGATATTCAAAAAGTTGTCAAAATACAAGGACCTTGAAATAGAAATCTCGAAAATGTGGCATATAGGAACATCAACAATCCCAGTTGTAGTTGGAGCCCTAGGACTGGTTGGAAAAGATTGCAGTAGACTAATTGAAGGGATTCCTGGAAGTCCATGCCTCAAGGAGATACAAAAAATTGTTCTGACAAGTACAGCCCACACTTTACGAAGGGCTTTATCTATGTAATTTTTTTTTTTTTTTTTTTTTTTCAGTGGAAAGTGTCATGATGCCATTTCTAACCTTAGGTCCCTGGGCGGGACCCGGAAAGAAATGTGTAAACGCCAGAAATCAAAGAAAATAAAATAATAATAATAAAATAATAATAATTCATAAAAAATTAATGTTTTTTGAATGTATGATTCTATGCATTTGTCAATATATCTGAAATGAGCTATAGTAACTATCCAATCTTAAATACATCTACAAATTGATCCCTCGTCCATGGATTGAATGAAATATATCTGGTCCGGTGACCCTGCTGTTCATCCCAGGTTTCACAGAAAATCCAAAGAAGGATCTGTGGATGAATGTTCCTGACTTGACAACTTGACTCTTTCACTTTCTCACCGAAAATTGATGTGGACAAATTTTTTGATTTTTCTATAAATATTTCCATGGTAATTTCTGTCGATTTTTTCCTTTGCCTTTAACTATTTGAATTTAAGCAAAAATGCTACTAGATTGGCAATTATTTCCCATCCTTTTTACTGTTTATAAAAAAAAAACTCTTAACCGCCAGTTCTATCATTAATAGTCTCTTTTCGTCGCTAAATCATCTGTGGAACTCCTTCAAATTTTTTTAAATCCTTAACAACAATGTTCAAAATTTCAATGAAACATCAATCGTCATCTTCTTGTATCTTTTTTTTTTTTTACAGTCGGTCCCTTAATTGACCATTCCGCAATCTTCCCTATTCTCAGTCTTCAACTTTCATTTTTTTTTTGTAAACCCCTGTTGACAGAAAATGCTTTATAATATCCGAAAAGCATTGAATTGATGAAAGATTCCTTCTAAAAATCAAGTCAAATGTCAAACATTTTACAATTAATTTTTAAAAAAAATTGAAATTTTGTTAAAATATCGATCCTCCTTTTATACAGTGAATGCTAGAAAAATTCCTAAAAAAATGTTGAGACAACAAAATGTGGTTCTGTGCAGAAGGATACTGAGAAAACAATTATTGAACAAGTGAAATAACGAGGATTTTCAGGGCAAATAAAAAAAAAAAAGGATAAAATGGAGCCTCGACTCAATTAATATAATTCGTTCTTGAAGGCCGTTCGTAATCCGGAATGTTCGTAAACCGAAACTATTTTTTCCAATAGGAATCAATGTACATCAAAATGGCACAGTACAATAAAATTGGAAAAAAAACTTGCCATGGAAAATTTATACAACATGGCGGTCGACTTAAAATGATTCCGTTCGAAATTTTTGCGGATTTAAAATGATGATCGAAAACCTAAATTTTGTTCGATAACCGAGGTATTTTTCATCTCGAATTTTCTTTTCGAAAACCGATTTGTTCGAAATGTGAGACGTTTGAGAACCGAGGTTCCTAATAAAAAATAGAATGTATCTAAATAAAAATTATCATTACATGTTCATAATATATCATTCCAAAATAAATCAACAAAAAAATGAATTTAAATAATACATCAATCAGATTTTTATTTAAAAAAATTCAAATAAAAAACAACCTGAAGACATATCTCAATAAAAATTCTCCCCAACAGACACATCGCAAATTTCTTGTTAGGTAGTATTCATATAAAAATATAAATTTTATTTTAACTTTTGTTTATGTACAATAATGGATCATTTTTAAAATTCGAATTGTGATAAATTTTGTGAATAATGATGAAAAATATTTTAGGACCTCGGTTCCGAATTGGTTCCTGAATAAAAATTCGTAACCCGAAATGTTCGTCAACCGAAATATTTTTTTTCATATTGTTCAATGTAGAGGAATAAATATTCACAGTATAATAAAATTGGAAAATATATTGGTTTACAATAAATATTGGTTTATATGTATAAAAAATGGCGATTTAACTATATTATATTCCGTTCAAGTTAAATCAGTTTTTTTTATTCGAGAACCGAAATTTTGTTTTTTTTAACCGAGGCATTTTTGTACTCGAATTTCTATGTTCGAAAATTTTTTGTCCGACGAAACTTGACGCTTACACCGAGGTTGCTCTGTATTTATATTTAGAATCAGAAAGAGCCATTTGAAATGTCTATGTTCATAATATTTGGTTTACAAAGGGCGTTATTTTTCCACTATCACAGGGCATGTTAAAGGCTAAAAAAAAAGACAGAAGAAAACAGGAAATAAACTTTTTATATATCTAATCTCACCCGAAAAAGGCAATAAAGCCAGTAAGGTTCAAGAGTTTACTGACTGTTAGAAAATATGTGAAAATATACCATTAAGGGGACAGGACAATAAAAGTACAAGAATTAAGGAGAGAGAAGATAATGATTGACATTGCATTTAAATTTTTGAAGATCAAATTTGACTGGAAAGCAAGAGATCCACAATTGAGAAGTGCGAGAGAAGAAACTGTTAGCATAGAACTTACGGTTACATCTAGCCATTTCAACCATAAAATGATTAAATTCTTGCTAATTTAGTAAAAAATTAAATTTAATTTTAAAAAATCGGGCTTCCAAAGAGGATAGATAATATCAGAAAAATTACCATGAAAGATATTTGATTTAAAATTTAAGAGAAGAACGTTATGGGGTTAAAAAGTATGTTTAAATTTGATTTTAAAGTCATTAACCTATAACATTTTGAATCTGTCCTTTGGATTTTGTTTTTTCTAAATTAAGAATTTGACGAATGAAAAAGAATAAATCAAAAATGGGTTTTCTTAAAAACTCATTTATAATTGTAAGATAAAGTCTGTCGAGAAAATTGTTCCTTTCAGGGCACAGTGAAGTAAAAACCTTTCAACTTTGATAAATTTGATGAAAAATTGTATTGGTTTAAAGTTTTTTAATTTAAAATTTTTATTCATTTACGCAAATTCTTCTTTTTAATACTCTTCTTCCTGTTTTATTAAGTAAAAATGTGGAAAATAAAAAATTACAGGGTTTTTATTATTTCCAACCATCAATGTCTAAAATAAATCTTTTCATTTTCTCTTATTCAAATGAAAGATTTACTGTTTCTTTCAAAGCAATGGGTTGCAAAATATATATTAAAAGATTTGAAAGACCTTTATTTGCTAAAAACCATAATCGATAATCCGAGTTGGTGAGGAAAATTTACTCATTTGACCATTGTTATTTTGAATGGACATTTTTCTTCTCTTTTGAAAATTCGAAAAATAAGAAGAAGAAGAAGAAAAAGAAGTTTTCCTTTTTCAGAGATTTGGTTTTCAGATTCTGAAAATTTGGAAGAGATGTAGAAGAATTGAAGAAGAAGAAAAAGAAAAAAAAAAAATCTCATTTAAGAAGGAGGAGCAAATATATTATGATTGAGGATTCATTCCTTCTGAAAAGAAAAATGAAAGGATTTTGTTTTCTAATGAGAAGAAGAAGAAGAAGAAATTCAGAACCGAAAATCTAATTCTTAAAATTTTTCTTATTTTAACCTTGAAAAAGATGATTTTTTTTTTCAAATATTTTTTTGGAGAAAATGAATTTTTTTAAAATCAAGAAAAAATGAGGAAGATTTTCATCTAATAGCAACAGACCGAAGAATGAGGAAGAATTTAAAATTATTGAGAATTTTATAATTTGAAGAAGAAAAAAAAATTGGGAAGAGGAAGAAAAAGGAGCAACAATGAGGAAGAGGACAAAAAAAGAATTTCTTGTCTGTTTCTAAGATTAGGAATGAGGAGAAGAATTTAAAGAAGAAAGAAGAAGAAAAAAGAAGAAAATGAGGAAGAGGGAGGAGGAGGAGCAACAGAGAAGAAGAATGAGGAATTTTTCAAAAAAAAAAGAATGAGGAGGATTGAAGAAGAAGAAATTTTTGAAGAAGAAGAAGAAGAAGAAGAAGAAGAAGAAGAAATGAAGAAGAGAAGAATCTTTTTGCAAGAGAGAAGAAGAATGAGGAAGAGGACAGAAAAAGAAGAATGAGGAAGAGAAGAAGAAGAAGAAGAAGAAGAAGAAAAATGGGGAAGAGGAGAAGGAGGAGCAACAGAGAAGAAGAATGATTTTTCAAAAAAAAGAAGAATTTCTTTCTAAGAAGAAGAAAAATTTGGAGGAGGAGAAGAAGAAGAAGAAGAAGAAGAAGAAGAAGAAGAAGAAGAAGAAGAAGAAGAAGAGGAAGAAGAAGAGTCAAACGTAGAGACTCTGGGTCAGACAGAAAATCAGCTGTTATTTTATTATATAGATTACATTTTATTTTAAGTGTCCCAATATTTCATCTCCGCTAGGCATCGCTCTTGTCCTCGAGAGACCATAGCGTTAATTAAATATATTTTTTTTGATTTATTTTTGTCGTATTAAATATTTTCCGTAATTGTATGCGTTTGCCGAACTCATCTCATAAACGTGCTGAAGCTGACGGACGCTCCCAGTCCATCTGTCTGGAAATGATTCATTAAAATACAACCTGAAAACACGATAAAAAAATTCTATAATATAAATATATAATAATATAAAAAAAAAGACTCCCTCTTTTCATCATATATAGCCGAAGCAATTTGACTCTTGCTCAGTGACTCCTTTTTGAACTGACCGCCTCCTCCGGTGGAATGGGGTGGATCGATTGATGGACAGATTGTTGGCCGGTTGGTGTTATTCTTATGAAATAACATGTCGGATGGATTTGGGCAACAACAAGTGACCTTTCTAGCATAAAACATGTCTGAAAAGACCTTCATTTTTTTTAAATCTTAAATTCTCTTAAATTCATCTATCCATGCTCCTGTTCCTAGGTTCCCTCTCATGGTTTTAAAACAATATTTCCTATATATATATATATATATATATATATATATATATATATATATACGGTACCTTCATGAGGTCGTTAAAAAGAGTATAGTATGACGAAAAAGACGCCAAACATGACGAAAACAAAACTTTATCATCTAAATGTTTATGCTATTATTAAGAGGAAAGATCAAAGTATCTTTGGGGTATTTTTTTTTTACATTTTTTAATCGTTCCTAGCACGTCCAAAATTTTCGTTAAAAATCTTGTTTTTTAGTCAGCAAAATTGACAGATAATCGATTATGTCATCCATTTTTTCCCAATTTATAAAAAAAATGAAAATCTCCATTTGAAATTCTTTTAAAACTCAATTATCATTTTTTCAAAACTTATTTTAAGAAAATCAAAAATTATGTTTATTGAAAATGTTTTGAACCAAGCTTAACTTAGTTTCTGCGCGGAAAAGATGTAATTTGAAAATAAAACAAAGCAGGTCATAACCTTTCGCGTCACTTGACAGGTGAGGAAAGACATTCATGATGTTTTGATAGCTTATGTGAAGATAATTCTTCTACGGAAGGAGAGTAGTGAAATTATTTAGACTTAAGTGAACAAATTATTTACCTCGTTATTTTTAAAGAAAACTTTCAGCGCTCTAATTTTGTTTTTTATACTTCGCTTTCACCTTTACGTTTACGATGCTTTATGGAGAATATATTATAAAAAAATTAAAATAAGGCTGTTGATAGTGAAATTAAATTTCATAAGAAAGGTATCTAATTAATTTATAGGTACCTTTCTTATGAAATTTTATCAGAAGTGACATAAAATATAAATTTATATTTCATTTATGATATTTGATACTTGTTATTTACCCTTCTCATTGAAATTGAAAATTAAAATTTGATTTTCACATTTGTTTCCAAAAAATAAATCTTATATCAAAAATATTTACGAAACTGAATGCGGCTTTTAAAATTTTATAATATTTTAACAACTTAAAATTTAAAAATCTATTATAATTAAAAAAAAAATAACAAATAATTGTATTAAAAATTCAGTATTTAAGTTAAATACTAGACAGAAACTCAATCCACGTGACGTTTTTTTTATTGTATTCACGCATGATACTTCTGGTCTTCCGTAGATTTAATTTACAGTGTTATTATTTACACAAAATATTTTTTTCTTAATTTGTTAAGTTTGTAAGAATTATTGAAAATTATAATCTGTAAATATATATCTACTTAATAACAACATTCATTAAATTTTGCGTTTCCCTAATTTTAGAAGATTTAACAACATAATGTAAAAATAATAAAATATTTCAAAAATAACAAATAATTGTTTTAAAAAATTCATTTTTCATCGAAAATCTTTTTGCTTTCAGACAATATTGTCCATGTTCATTAAAATAAATAAAAGCAAATAAAAGCATTTGAAATTAAATAATATTTTTGTTTTATTGAGTTTTTTATGTTACAATTTTCAGAGAGGATTTTCAGGTAAAAAAAAAAAAAAAAAAAAAAAAAAAAATTTGGTTTCCTCAAAGCCTTGTGCTTTTTAACTAATATAATCACTAATCTTCCCAAAATTTAGAGTTTTCATTAAAATTAGTTATGGGGGGGGGTAAAATATAAAAAAAAAATTTTATATGACTTTAAAAAAAAAAAAACATATTTATAATAATTTCCATCATTTGTGAATAGTTTCTGAAAGTTTCATTAAAATCTGACAATTATTTTTATTTTTTTAAGATTTTCAAAATTAATGTCTGTCATACAAAAAAAAAAAAAAAATTTTATATGTTATTTTATTAGTTCCGGTTGATACAAAGAGAAACAAGGTTTTTTTAATCAAAATTTAGAATGTTCTAAAAAAGAAGGAAAAATTTTTTTAAATAATTAAAAAAACTTTGATCTTTCCTCTTAATAATAAACATTTAGACGATAAAATTTTGTTTTCGTCAAATTTGGCTTCTTTTTCATCATACTATGCTCTTTTTTTAGCGATCTCATCAAAGGTACCTATATAAACGGCTTATTATATTTAAATAATGCTTTTGCTTTTATTGGGCCTTCTTTTCACAATAGGTATTTTTTTAATGCGACAAGCAACAATTCTTTTATATACAAATCAAAATTGATTTCTGCATTTAAGTATTGCATTAATATTTAAGCTTATCTCTTAAAAGTTTAACGAAAATTCTTCTGGCGCCACTTGATTTAAAGACAATATGATGTACGTAGGTCCTTACTTTCCGTACAAAAAATTATTTTTATTTAATGGATGACTTTCGCGGGATTTCGTAATTAATTTCGATTATTCCCAAATTTATTTTCAAGTTATAAAAATTGTTATCGTACAAAAAAAATTAATCGCAAAAATCATCTTAAAAATTCATCGAAAACAATCGTAGTAATGAAAACTTGGGAATCCAAAATTTCAGGATTGAGGGTTCGGATTCGACCCGGAATGTTTTTTTTTTTACTTTTCTCGCGGTATTGGCCTGATTCTAAAATGGTATAATCTGTTGGTCTACGGCCTCTAGGAGTAAAGTTGAAAAAGCGTCACTCAGTGACACAGTGACATTCGCATTTATTATATAGATATGATCAATTGGAAAACCCTTTTACTAACAACGCGTTTCGCATACGTGTTAGCCTGATGAGGCTAGGGTGAAAGAAAAAAAAATGCATGTTTTTCTCTATTAAAGCCGATAATGGCTGTTGGATTTTAAATTAACCGATTTCAAGTAGATTTCTGTCATTGCATCTATAACGCAACATGCTGCTTTTGCGATGATATGTGAGACTGGTCTTGGGTTTATAGTAGGTAACTCCACAAATTCGCGATATTTCAGGTTTAAAATGAATTTTTTAAAATGAAAAATCTTTCTTGGAGCCTTTATTTTTATTTTAATTTCAAGTTAATAGATTGAATTCATATTTCCAATGAGCAAAATGCTCCGTTTCAAAACTAATAAAGAGAAAAACGAAACTGACTGATGGAGATTTTATTTGTTTTTTGCTAAAAGAAAGATAATTTTAGCACCATTTTTAACCAGCATTTATTGCAATGTCTATTCTCTTTATCATAAAATCTTCCAAAATTAAAATATACTTTTCTGAATCTTTATTTGAGGAATTTTAACTGATTTTAAGCATAATTAATATGATTTGAAACAAATATTTTTTACTCTAAAGACTATTAGGCCTCAAGCTCAAACCCGGCATCAAGTGGAACACGTACATACACTCCATTGCTAAGGACGCAGGTAAAATGATTGGCTCTCTGTGCCTCTCCGGTAAGTACTTGACCTCCTCCTTCTATCTGCTACCTGAAAATGGATTAATGTTGTCATATTTGGTCGGGAGTTGACCAGATCGTACTCTCCAGGCTTGATAGAGTTCCGAAAGCGATTTTGTGCCCTTGCGGGTGACGAACTTTTCTCCACCCTTCAATCTCTCTCTTGCAGGCGGGATGTGGCAAACCTCTGATATAAACTTCTACCGCTATTTCCAAAAAAATTTAATCAGGCGAACTAAGATTCAAAGAATCCAACTAATAAATCTTAAAAGCTTAAAATCATGGCATGTCACTTACGTAATACCAAACTACCGATCGGTGAGAAGGAAGTTCCACCTGAGGAGTCTCTTCCTGCAAACCACTGCCCTGTGGAACCGGCTCCCAAGAGGATGTTTCCTCGATCACAACAATCTAAACCTGTTCAAGAGCTGAAAAGTCTAAACAATTGCCTTCTACTTCTAAACACACAAATAACATCAAAAAAAAAATTCTACCTCGAGGGAAACAGGGCCTTGTAAATGGTGAAATGCTTAGAATGAATATATATATATATATATATATATATATATATATATATATATATATATATATATATATATATATATATATATATATATATATATATATATATATATATATATATACACTGCGTGCAACATTATTATCGAGATAACTTTTTTCTAATATTTCAAAAACCGTCCAATCAATTCACACAAAGTTTTCACACAATGTTAGCAACACTAACCTGCGCAATCACTTTTGTATTGATCTGCGCAATGTAAACAAACTGGCGCCATATTTGTTATCAGCATTGGGTGAAAATTTTGTGTGAATTGACGGTTTATATATATATATAAAGAAATTTAGTTTTAAGGTGTGCTATATTTACGGGATAAAGTGCTCAATATCAGAGATAGAGCGTATGTAAATATAAATATAAAAGTGAACATGACGATTGCGTCTAGCATGAAACAGCATGTTGCCTCTTAGTGTTGACTTATATATATATATGTATATATATATATATATATATACATATATATATATATATATATATATATGTGTGGGGGATGTGATGGTTAACTTTTCGTCTAAATGACATAAAAATGAAAATAACACGAACATCTCATTTAACAGATATATTTATACAAAAATATCTTGAAATAAAAAGAGGAAATTTATTCAATAAAATTGCCGTTGTCTTCAACCACGGACCCCAGATGACTTCGGAATCTCCTGCAACTCTTGTGGGCGGTCTTCAAGTTTTCTGAATACTGCCATAATCCTTACCTTCAGGTCATCTTTTGTTTTACAAGAAGTTTTTTTGGTCTCTCGCTCAAGTGCGCCCCACACATAATAATCAAGGGAGTTGCAGTCTGGGAAGTTAGGTGGCCAGGTGTAAGGGGTCATATGATAGAAGAAATTGTCTGACAGCCATGATTGGGTTCTCGTTCTTGTGTGGCATGGCGCCGAGTCCCGTTTCCAGACATAGGGTCTTCCAGCAGCCACCGTCTTGGCCTAGGACAGCACTACCTCCTCAAGGCATTTGATGTAGACCTCCACGTTGAATCTGAGGCCCTGTGGAAAACATCGCCATTACTAATGATCACTCCAAACACCTTCGTAATCATCCAACTCTTTCCGAATCCTCAGCACTGCCGTCATAATGACAGCCAAACACTCTGAAATATTCTTATTGGAGCTTTCGGTGCGAATGCCAAGCAGTACAGCATGATGTTTCCAAATTTCAGTTGGACGACAAAATCCGAAACAAGCAAGGCGCATGCGCAAAATTAAAAATTTAAAATGGCAATGATTTACCCATTGCACACACTATATATATATATATATATATATATATATATATATATATATATATATATATATATATATATAAATTTAAAAATGTGGAAAAAAAAAAATTTTCTATCCGTTAGGACTTCATCGGACTGGAACAATCTAAACAAACCCAATCCAATTAAATGCTAACGGATAAATCCCATCACAAGAACTTTTTTTTTTTTTGTCATAAATAATATATATATATATATATATATATATATATATATATATATATATATATTTTAAATTTTTTTATGGTACAAAAATTTAATGATATCTAGAAAAAAATCAAAATATATATGGCATTTTTAAAAAGCTAAAAAAGAACAATCGGTTTCGTCCCAGCCTTATCAAGTTTATTTTCTGGGATCTAAAAAATATATATAAGCGTGTAAATTAAATTAATATAACAAATGGAAGGGGGGAAAACTGAATTTCAAGAAAACTAATGTCCAATAACATTCAGACCCTGTAAGCATTCTCTCTGTTTACAAAGGGAAGGCCCACGGGATCTGATATACAAGGACTCTAGAACCTTGAGGTGAAATGTGGAGTGGGACCTAGATAAAATCAAAAAACTGTCCGCACGAAAATCAACTACACATTTCCTACTATTTATTATATGCTCAGCAATAGCAGAGCCAGAAGTATTGGTTAGTTGGCTCTTCCTGGCAGCCGGAATCAAAATCCTGGGTGTGGGGGGGGGTAGATGTTGTTTTATTCTCGAATCCAAACGCTGGGACGTCCTCCCTATGTAGTCGAGTCCGCAACTACACTTATATTGATAAATCACTGAATTAACATGAGGGGTACGTATCTATATATATATTAAGTGTTGATTTGGTGTATGTACTTGTGTGTGCCTATATATGTGTTTGAGAGAAAATCAGAAAATGCGTGTATGTGTGAAGGGAAACTGAGTAAGTATGAGTATGTGTATTTGAGAGAGAGGGGTGGAGGGAAGAAAAGTGTGTGTGTATGATGTTGTTGTAAGCGCCATACAAGGGAGGACAGATAACAGCTGACACTAGACGAAGAGATTAAGATTTCAGCGGTTGGGGAAGCATTCTGAGTGCAACCTCCTCCTTACCAATGGAATATAAAAGGAATGAAGATGATTCGACAATGTGTACGCGGCATTGCGAGTCCTAATTGCGAAGGCCTGAACCGTTGGAACATGTAGCTCGCCTGAACATCTGAAAACAGTAATAGAGCACAGAGCGTTTAACAACTTTCCGACTGCGGGAAAGTGGTGGTAGGGCGGAAATCAATCCATCACTCCCAAAGCCTTTTTTAACTCTTATCAAAGCTTGAATGTGTAGGTACCTCCAGATATAGCAGTAACGCTCCATTTTGGACTTGGTCTGGCTCTTGTAATTATAGAATATGGGAGGAGGAGTCAGATACATTTAGAAGCGGTATAGAGAACCGATTTTATAGATTTATTCCACTTGATGTCTGGAAAAAATTCAAGGTCTGTTCGGTGATGATGAAAGGACACTAGTTTGGTTTTGGTGAGCGGGGGGGTCGAATGATACAAGCTACTGATACTTATCGTAAGCAAGTATCATGAAGACAAATGGATAGATAACGTTATGGGGTCCACCCCTTTTTCATATAAGTGGACTCTACCAAGTGTACCTGGGCTGCTGCCGTTAAATACCCAGAGAGTATTGAGTAGTGAGAGGGTAGTCGGAAAGAGAGAGGGAGAGAGAGAATATACGAACGGAGATAGTGTAAGGTCGCCTCTTGTAGAAGTCAGTTACAAGCACGTAGACTCTAAGGAAGTCCTACTTCGAGACTGTATAGATCTATCTGTATTTGCTACTAACCGTGTTCCTGGATTTACTAACAGTATTACCCTTTGTATGATTGTGTAAATACATTTTATTTCTTATATTTAATTATTGCGTTTTTTCTTCATTGGAGACCGAATTCCTCTCGGAATCCACAACAGATAATGTATCATCCAAGCCGATTTATATGGAGACTATTGTTATTGGAAGAACACAGGAAACTATTAATTTATTAACTGAAACCCGTTCCGCGAAAAATGTTGACTTAATTTTCATCTTCCAAGAGTTTTTGATTTCCTCAAAATAAAACCCCTCATTGGCGCGCACGTGTCAACTTGACTCCCACAGAAGCTTTTAAGCCAATCGGATTTATTATCTGCCTTCTTTTATGTGCGTGTTTACACATGAAGAGTTGCGCATGCACATGAGTAAGTGCCAATGACTCCTTTTGAACTGATCCCCAGGGAGTGCAGCAGACTCGCTGTGGACTGATTGGACAGATGGTTGGTTGGTGTTATTCTTGTGGAATACCGTTTGTGGTGGATTTGGGCAACAAGAATTAATGAGCAGAAATGCAAGATTGGAAAGAAAGAAAGAAAGAAAGAAAGAAAGAAAAAAATAATTTGAAAGATGAATCTGGTCGAATAAGCCAACAAAAAAAAGAAAGAAAGAAAGAAAGAAAGAAAGAAAGAAAGAAAGAAAGAAAGAAAGAAAGAAAAATAATTTGAAAGATGAATCTGGTCGAATAAGCCAACAAAGAAAGAAAGAAAGAAAGAAAGAAAGAAAGAAAGAAAGAGAGAGAGAGAGAAAGAAAGAAAAATAATTTGAAAGATGAATCTGGTCGAATAAGCCAACAAAGAAAGAAAGAAAGAAAAATAATTTGAAAGATGAATCTGGTCGAATAAGCCAACAAAGAAAGAAAGAAAGAAAGAAAGAAAAATAATTTGAAAGATGAATCTGGTCGAATAAGCCAACAAAGAAAGAAAGAAAGAAAGAAAGAAAGAAAGAAAATAATTTGAAAGATGAATCTGGTCGAATAAGCCAACAAAGAAAGAAAGAAAGAAAGAAAGAAAGAAAGAAAGAAAGAAAGAAAGAAAGAACAAAAAAGGGAATATGAGAAATAAAGTAAAAAGGACCAGAGAAGAAAAGAAAGAAAGAAAGAAAGAAAGAAAGAAAGAAAGAAAAGATAAAAAAGGAATATGAGAAATAACGGAAAAAGGACCGGAGAAGAAAAGAATAAAAGAAAGAAAGAAGGAAAGTAAAAAGAACAAGAAAAAGAAGAGAATATAAGAAAGAAAGAACAAATGAGGAAGAGAGAGAGAGAGAGAGAGAGAAAAGAAGAAAAAGGGAAAGAAAGAGAATACAAGAAAGAAAAAATCAAACGCGAAAGGGGCATAAAGAAAAAGGAAAACGAAAAATAAAGACAGAAAGAGAGGAAGGGATGAAGAAAGAAAGAAAGAAAGAAAGAAAGAAAGAAAGGAATGAAGGAAGGAAGAGAATAAGCAAAGAAAACACGAAGATGACAGAAAGAAAGAAAGAAAGAAAGAAAGAAAGAAAGAAAGAAAGGATGAAAGATAGCATGAAAGAAAGAACGAAAGAGAAAGACGGACAAAAACTAAGAAGAGAATATAACAATGAAAATATGCGAAACAAAGAAATAGAAGAGCAGGAAGAAGGAGAGAGAATATAAGAAAGAAAAACAAAGAAAAAGTGAAGATGACATAAAGACGAAAGGAAAACAATAAGTGAAGAAAGAACGATAAACGAAAGAAAGAGAAGTAAAGAGAAAAATAACGAAAGCGAATGAAAGAGAATATAAGAAACAAAGTAAACGCAAAGATAAGGAAAAAGTGAAGAAAGAAAGAAAATATGGCAAGGAAAGAAAATATAAGAAAGAAAGAAAGAAAGAAAGAGAATGAACATAAGAAAAAATTAAGAAAAATCTATTGTAAAGAAAAAATGTAGGTCAGTAGGTAACAGACATACAGACAGATAGATAGATAGATAGATAGATAGATAGAAAGAAAGAAACATGCTTAGATATATAGATAGATAGATTGATAGAAACAGGCTTAGATAGATAGATAGATAGAAAGAAAGAAAGAAAGAAAGAAATATGCTTAAAAACAAAGAAACAAAGAAAGAGAGATAGATAGACAGATAGATAGATAGAAAGAAAGAAAGAAAGAAAGAGTCTTAGAAAGAAAGAAACATAGATAGATAGATAGATAGATAGATAGATAGATAGATAGATAGATAGAAAGAAAAGACAGTAAATATAAGAAGCTAAATGTTTCAAACTAAAAACGAAAAAGTGACAAGTGCAGGAAAAGAATAATAATTATTTTAAAAGTAGAAGGATTGAAAAAAAAAAGAAAGAAAAGAAAAGAAAATGAAGAAAGAGAGAAAAAAGAAACATTGTGAAGAAAGAGGAAATTGAACGCAAAGACAGATGAAAAGAAAAAGAAATGAAAACTCTAATTGGTGAATACATTGTGTAATGAGCATCCATTCTAAGATCGCTGAGTAATGACCCTCAAGGTGGTCAGTCACACTGCAGATGTGGAGATGACGTCCAACCTGATCTTCGACCCTCTTTTAGTGCGACTGATGTAAAAAAAAAAAATTGTATATCCACGGCTGTGAGTTACCACCTACCAACCCAAAGTTGAGGGCAAAGAAAGGACAAAGACATTCAAACCGATTTACCAAATTAGTATCCACCAGAACCGGATCTATTATCCCCTGAAGACTTTTTCCAATCGTCTGCCGACGCAATCTGTTCCAATATATCTTTGTCTTCTAGCTAAAGGTAGTGGTCGGTGAATGAGTTGATGGGAGCCGGTGATCAGAATTTGTAGATGTGTCAAAAGGTCACATTCCGTTTGTCACCTCCCAGCTTGTTTTCGATTTTTAGGTGTAGACGATCACCGGCGCGTGGGAGTTAGAATAAGATCTCGTGTCTGAATCCACCCCCCAAAAAACCCTCCCCCATCTCAGTAAAACATTGCTTGTCTTTACAAAGAAACTGATTCGTTACCTTGCGAGCCATTTTTGTCTCCCAAGAGATTTTATTTCTGGAAGATGTTTCCGACGTTTCCTGGGATTTTATTATGGGGAAAAAAAAAAAAAAAAGATGAAAAACATAGTTAAAAAAAAAAACAATTTAAAAAATAACCTATTCATGAGAAGATAAAAAAAACAAAACTTTCTAGTTTTTACAAAAAAAAAACAAAACTGATTCATTAACTTAGGAGCCATTTTCCTCTTCAAATATACTTTTGTTCCTGGCTGAGGTTTCCAAATTTACCCGTTATTATGAAAAACAAAAACAAAACAACAAAACAAATATACTTAAAGAAAATAATAACCTATGCATTACACTATAAAAAAAAACAACAAAAAACTTTCTAGTTTATTTAAAAAAAAAAAAACTTTCGTTACCTTGCGAGCCATTTTTGTCTCCCAAGTGATTTCATTTCTAGAAGATGTTTCCGACATTTCCCGGGATTTTTTTATGAAAAAAGAAAAAAAAAGACAAAAAATATACTTTAAAAAAACAATTTAAAAAATAGCCTATTCATGAGAAGATAAAAAGAAACTTTCTAATATTTAAAAAAAATAAAAATAAAAAACTGATTCATTAACTTAGGAGCCATTTTCCTCTTCAAATATACTTTTGTTCCTGGCTGAGGTTTCCAAATTTGCCCGTTATTATGAAAAAAAACAAAACAAAACAACAAAACAAATATACTTAAAGAAAATAATAACCTATGCATTACACTATGAAAAAAACTTTCTAGTTTATTTAAAAAAAAAAAACTGTTTCGTTACCTTGGGAGCCATTTTTGTCTCCCAAGAGATTTTATTTCTAGAAGATTTTTCCGACATTTCCCGGGATTTTTTTTATGAAAAAAGAAAAAAAATGATAAAAAATATACTTAAAAAAAAAACAATTTAAAAATGGCCTATTCATGAGAAGATAAAAAAAAAAACTTTCTAGCTTTTTACAAAAAAAAAAAAAAAATGATTCATTAACATAGGAGCCATTTTCCACTTCAAATATACTTTTGTTCCTGGCTGAGGTTTCCAAATTTGCCCGTTATTTTATTATGAAACCAAAAACAAAAACAGAACAACAAAAAATACTTAAAGAAAATATTGACATCTGCTTTAGACTATAAAAAACCTTCTAGTTTATACAAAAAAAAACAAACTGTTTCCTTACCTTGCAAAGTCATTTGTCTTTCAAGAGAAGTATTTTTTTCAGGTAGAAGTTACTTGGAATTTTAATTTAGAGAATAATTAATACAATTACTAAAAGAAAAAAATACGCACCTTCATTTTTTACAAAGAAACTGATATGTTAACTTGTAAGAAATTTTTAATCTCGAGTGCCTTTTTTCTGATAAAAATAAAACTGATAATCCGACAAATCCCATCCCTCTTCAGGCTGTGTTTGAATTCCGAGATATCCGTCTAAACTCTTTTCACATCAAGGCAAAAGAACCGAGTCTGCATTGCTATTTAACCCATAGGAGTGAGAGTAAATAGCTTTATACCTTTTCTAAATGAATTAACGCCAATTTAGGGAAACAGACTCGAGGGAGAATTAAATACGACACACCGATTTCAAGGTAAGATTCTACTCGATTCTACTATTTAACCCATAGCTTCCAAGAATTATACGAAGAATTCATTTCATTTCAAAATGACATTCAGCTTAAAAAAGTTTGAAAGTTTGAAATAAAATCATATATATATATATATATATATATATATATATATATATATATATATATATATGTGTTTTATTTCAAACTTAATAAACTTATTTATATATATATATATATTGTTTAGAAAAAATATATATATTGTTAGAAAAATAAATATATTGTTAGAAAGAAAAAAAATATATATTGTTAAAAAATTTTTTTTAAATATATATATATATATATATATATATATATATATATATATATATTCTTTTTGAAAAACAAATATATATTAGGAAATATTTTTCCAACAAGATATCTCGAAATATTCAGGCCGGTGGATGTAAATAAATAAATATTCTGCTTAATAAATAAAAATACGGAACATCTACTCAAATATGAGTGTTCATTTAAAAACAACGTTTATTTCGAGCGCTTTTAGCCATTATCAAGGGTGATTTTATTATCGATTTTTAACTGGATGTATGAGTTGTGTGTCTGTTTTCAAATAACCTGAACAAAAAAAAAATGAAATGAATTATCTACAACTTATATATATATATATATATATATATATATATATTCTTTTGGAAAACAATTGTAACGACGAAGCATTATAACAATACTTACTTAAAATAGCAGACGACGAAAAATGGATTATTTACAACAATGTTACACGCAAAACGCGGTAGATTGATTGAAAAAGGATAAATCTTCAAAATCGACCCCAAAAGCTAGGCTCCAAAGCTTTTTATCCACGGTTATTTTATTCTGACCCAAATTATTTCCATGTCCTTCACACTTTTAGTCACACTTTCAGTTGTTCATTCATTTTTACTTGTTTATTCATTGATTCAAGTCATTTTTCCCCTTCAGCTTCTATGCCGCCATGTTTTTATCCACTCTGTTAGCGCCATATGCAAGTTGAGCCACCACCCAGATTTCTTTCCCAACCTTCTTCTCCTACCGGGCATCATCTGTTCCCTTACCGATACACCCTGCTACCTGTCTGCATACTCTCGCTGCCGCTGTCTTTCTGTCTGCCCGTGGGAAATGATGAGACGCTGCTATTCCAAGAAACGAAGTATGGGCTAAAATGGCTTCCTGCTTCTTCCTATCTCCTTGCTTTGCTCATGCGCAGAACCAATTGCTCTCGTTATGAATGAATTCGATGAAAAAAGATTAACCCCTTTTGGATTTGTTTTTCTCTTTGTTTCCTACTTTCTGGGCTATTGATGTGCTTGATTAACAGCCTTATGGTATTTGATGACTTCTCTTGTTTTATTCGCCTGGTTACATCCTTTTTTTTTGTCCCATCTTTTCTTCTTTCATTTTTTTTTATATATTTGTTCCCTTCTTCATGAAACATATTATTTTATCTCTGAATTTCTGTAGAACCACATTTCTGTTGCTTGAAGTCTCTTCTTCATCTTTGAGTAGATTTGTTCAGCATTACTAAATCTTAATGAATTGGTTTATTTCTGGTTCAAATCTTCCTAGAGCCACCTTTCAAATCATTATATGGATTCTTTTTAAATTATCTCCTCAAAACTTACTTAGTTTACCTGGGTAACTTCTATATGCCGTCTCCCTTCAGGACGTCGGAAATCATGGCTCTCCAGAATTTTCTTTCCCTTCGTGGCTTTTAATATCTTTTGTTTTTACGCCATAACTCTCAAAATATTTTCCGCTATCCATTTGCTCAAACTCTCTAGGTAGGTTACGCGTTACAATCCCCTGCTTCTTTTACATTCAATCTGTCATCTTTACTCATTATATGCCTCAGAAATTTCAAATGTCTCTTCCTGACGATAAGCATAATTTTTTTTTTTCTATCGCTCAATAGTATTCTCAGCATCCTTCTGTAGAACCACATTTTTGTTGCTTGAAGTCTCTTCTTCATCTGTGAGGAGATTTGTTCATCATTACTAAATCTTAATGAAGTGGTTTATTTCTGGTTTGAAGCTAATAGAATGGCCAGGTCCGTGATAGGGGAGAAAATCAAGTTTGAGAGAGAACTTATCACGAATGACACTTTTCATGGAAGGACGTAAAAACTAAAAAAAAACAAAAAACAATTGTATTAAAGAATACAGAAAATTTATTTGGCACCGACTGGATGGAAATATTTAAGTTGTGGGACATGCCAATTATTTCATTTTACCAAAAACTCGAAAACCTGACCACCGAGGCAACAAATTTTATAAAAAGTTTAAAAGAAACTTTTCCGAAAGATTTTTTTTTCTGGGGGCCTTGGACGGTGTATTAAGACAATGGCAAAATTCGAGTTAAAAGATGACATCCAGCCAGTGTTTAAAGAAAAAGAAAGAAATGTGCCTTTCGCCTCTTTACCACAAATAAATGAATAACACGATAGGCTAGAAAGAACCGGGGTGATATGTCCCGGAAAGGGATATATTTGAACGAAGTAGCTAAATGGTTTTGGCTACTATAACCAAGTAGAATACGGTAGCAGTAATCGACTGGTACGCGTCGTAGTCGCACGTAAGTAGTGTAGATCAATGGCGTAGTCCAATGGGCGTCGTTATAGACTTAGCTCTCAGATTAAGGCTCTTTGATTCACCTACACGTCCGTCGGTATTTATGACAGACACCAGCCAATCATATTCCAGTAAGAAGGAACACAGGTGTATGCATATTCCATTATATCAATAATAATAATAATAATAATAATTAATATGTCCCGGAAAGGGATATATTTGAACTAAGTAACTAAATGGTTTTGGGTTACTATAACCAAGTAGAAAACTGTAGCAGTAATCGACTGTGACG